TGCCAAGGGATAGCAGAAGACTGGCAGATGCAGGAGGAAGGAATGTGGCCACAAAGCGTATAATAGACAAGCTCCAGAGAACTTTCCCAAAGGGCCTTGTTGATGTAGTACCATACAATGCTTCAATTGTATGGTACCACATTCCCAGCCTACACAGACTGATGAGTAGGCAGCCCTTTAGATGGCTGTTTCATGACACAGCTCAGCTGCAGAGTAATGACTTGATGACTACCTACCAAATTCTGGGTCAAGAACTTAAGAAATAAAGGGGAGAGTCACTTGTGAGCTGAGTTGGCCTTTTACTGGGTAGCAAGGCACAGTCATTTAGTCTATGATTATTGTCAGGACATAAGTTGCTTCTGTTCATGATCTAGGTCATCAGTTTACAGGCAGTGCCCAGAGTGGACTCAGATAACTGATTCATCATATGCAGTCTCTGAATTGAAAATTGTCTTATCATTGTTTTTCTATGGCACAAAGTATAATGCCTTGCATAATAGGTTCCCAGTAAACTCATGTTGAGGGAATAAATGTGATCTTGAAGGACTGAGATCTCAGTCCTTCAGTGATCTCAACTATAAACTAATGGAATTTTTATTGGTACCTATCATACTTATAAAAATGTAAGTATATGCTCTGAAGGTATTACTATACTCTGCTTTCCAGGAGAACTGCTTTGTGGTACACTATATTGAACAGCAAAGAAATAGTAACTAGTAAAGAACATAAAAGGCTGCATGGCATGGAACAGTATTACTGGACTGTGAGTTTGCACAACCAAAAACTATTTTGAGTTTTCTTCTGACTATTTTGATGCTCTTAGTAAATAGACCTATATTTCTTGAACTTGCCTTCAACATTATTTCCAAAATTGATAATAGTTTATCAGTTATCTTTATGTTTTACTGAATTCTATTATGATTTTTATAGTAGATCAAAGTTCAAATTGGAATAACAGGAATGTCTCCAATTTCATCATACCATACTTCCCTTAACCTCTCTGTAATTTAGAATCTTGCTTGGAAGGTAAAGCAATAACCATGCTAATCTTAATTCTTCCTTTTACTCAAAATTTCTACACGCCACACAATTGGTATGAATCAATGCTCCTTTCCTGCCTGCACTATACCACAGGTTAAAAATATTTGACATACTTATGCCATGTAGATGCTTGCTTGTGAAGCTGTCTTTGAGATTTTGTAAATCAATCATCTATTTATTAAGGGGCATTCATTCACCAAGATTCATTAAGTTCCTTCAACTTTCCAGGCACAATGCCAGAAAAAAAGAAAAAAAGAAAAAAAAAACACGAGATTAAGACAAGCTTTCTGCCTCAGTCCACCAAGTTAATAAATATGATTGTTCTACCTAGGAGTGGAATTGCTGGATCATATGGAAGCTCTATGTTTAGTAGGTCCAGAAATCTCCACACAGCTCTCCATAGTGGTTGGACCAGTTTGCACTCCCACCAACAGTGCAGAAGAGTTCCTTTTTCTCCACACCCTCGCCAACATTTGTTGTTGCTAGTTTTTTTAATATGTGCCATTCTCACTGGTGTAAGATGGTATCTCATGGTAGTTTTGATTTGCATTTCCCTGATTACAAGTGATGTTGAACATTTTTTCATATGTCTGTTGGCCATTTGCATTTCCTCTTCAGAGAAGTTTCTTTTTAGCTCTTCTGCCCATTTTTTGACTGGATTATTTTCTTTGTTGTTGCTGAGTCTCATCAGCTCTTTGCAGATTTTTGTGATCAGTCCTTTATCATTAGTGTTGGGTGCAAAAATGTTCTCCCAGTTGGTGGGGTTTCTCTTTGTTTTTGTTATTGTCTCTTTTGCTGTGCAGAAGCTCTTTAATTTGATGTAGTCCCAGGGACACAGAAACATCAATTCCAAAGAACACCTGCACCCCTATGTTTATAGCAGCACTATTTACAATAGCTAAGCTTTGGAAACAGCCCAAATGCCCAAAAATAGATGACTGGATCAAGAAGATGTGGTACATATACACCATGGAATATTACTCAGCATTCAAAAAAGATAAACACATGCAATTTGCAGCAACATGGATGGTGTTGGAAGGGATCATGCTCAGCGAAATGAGCCGGAAGGAAAAGGAAAAATACCGGATGGTCTCACTCATAGCAGGAATCTAGAGAACTTAAGTAAGGGACCAGGAAAATGAATATAAGAAAGTGAAAATCAAAATCAACAAAAAACTATGAACCAGAGACACTTTTTGGGGGTGGGGGGCGGGAGGGGAGGGATTGGGGTCAGAATGGGGCGTTTGCAATTGTATGGGGGAATATAGAAATAAAATTTATTATTTAAAAAAAAATATGATTGTTCTATCATTTTCTATATATTTTATATTTTAGTGTGTTTCCATTCTTAAAGTACTTCTGTATCTTTCAGAGTGTACATGTAGTGACCTAATTTTTTTTAGAAAATTATTGTTACCGAAATTTAGGTCATTTCTATATCTGGAAATTGTTTTTATATGGTATAAGATTGTTCCAAATTTAATTTCCTTCATATGGCTCAACAGTTTTGCCAGTAACATTTATTAAATTAGCCAACTTTTTTTTTTCATTTAACTGAACAAAGTTGTTATTACTATATTTTATATATAGTGAGTCCTATTTCCAGATTCCTTAGTCTATTTCACTTATTATTTGTCCATTTTAGTTATATAACCAAACTGATTTAATTCCAGAGCTTTTGTTCCAGTGATATTATCAAATTGATTTGATTCAGAGCCTTTAAAATGTGTTCTGACATCTGGTAAGATGTCTCCTTACAAGTGTTTGAATAATTTTATTGGCTGGTCTCGGGCATTATTCCATGAAAACTTGAAGGTAGTTTTGGATTCTTAATTAGTTTGTATTTCAATTAGAATTGCATTAAGTTATAAACTGACTTTGTGGAAAGGGACATTTTTATGATGTTGCTTTCCTACTCAAAGATGTTATATCTGGTCTTGTTTTCTGCTGAATATGATTTTAGCATCTAGCAAAAGATATTGTAAGCAAGTTGCTAAAAAGTACATTTGAAAAACAATATTTTCAATGAAGAGACCAAGACTTTATAAAATAGAAAGTGCTCTTATAAATTGATAAGAGAGGGATTAACAAAAGAAAAGATCAAATCCAAGTAGCTGAAAAAAATATGGAAAGAGACTCACTCAAACTCACTTATAAAGATTTTCAAGTTAAAGATAATATGAGGTAGCATTTTATACCAGGGTTTCTCAATCTCAGCATTATTGACATTCCAGGCTGGGTAACTCTTAGTTATGGAGGTTCCTGTGAGTATTGTAGAATATTTTGTAGACGCTCTGTCTCTGTTCACTAGAATCTAGTAGCACCTAACCCTAGTCATAATCGACAGTTATGATAATCAAAACTATCTCCAAACTTTGCAAAATGGCCCCAGGTATGTGGGAGACAGTATCATTATAGGCTGAGGACTATGATTTCCACCTATCAATCTAGAAATATTTTAAAGCCTGATTACTTATGTTGTTGGCAAGGAAGTGCACAAGGAATAATCTTATATGTTACTAGTAAAAATTTAAGTTATAGCTTTCATGGAAAACAACTGGATTAATAAAAATGCATACACTCTGACCCAGCTATCCCACTCCTGGGAATAAATCTCATAAAATGTAACAATACATAGACATGTATTGTACAAGGATGTTAAGCGCAGCATTGTTGGCAGTGACCCAAAAACTAGAATGAGAGTGAGTGACCATATGTAGGGAATAGCTGAATAAATTATAGTATACCCAGATCTTGCAGCATTAGAAAGAATTGGAGCGTAACCTTATTACTGGAATAATTTCCATGAATTACTCTTAAGTGAGAAAAGCAACAAGCAGAAGTCTGAATAATTCTTCTTTTCACAAAACATACAACCCCATGTGCTTTCATAAGTAAACAGAAAATAAGTCCTTCACTATACTAGTTACCCCTATAGAACAGACAAAAATATTTGCATATCATATCTGACAAGGGTCAAGTTTTCAGAATATAATAAGAACTCCTACAATTCAAAAACAAAAGGACAAAGAATCCATTAAAAAGTGAAGAAAAGGCTTGAGTAGCTATTTCTCCAAAGAAGTTATATGAATGGCTAATAAATACATGAAAACGTTCAACATTATTTGTCATTAGGGAAACGCAAATCAAAACCACAATAAAATACCATTCCACATCCCATAGGATGGATAATATGTTGTTATTTTCCATTAAACAACAACAAGTGTTAGCAAGAATGTGGATAAATTGGAACCCTTGCACATCACTGGTAGGAATGATAAATGGTGCAGGCTCTATGGAAAACAGTTTGGAAGTTCCTCAAATAGTTAAGCATAGAGTTATTAAATGATCTGCCAAGTTCACTCCAAGACACATAGACAAAAGAATTGAAAACAAGTATCCAAATACTTGCACACAAATGTTCAAAGCAGTTCTATTCACAATAGCCCAAAAGTGAAAACCACCTTAATGCCCATCAATTGATGAAGGGATAAACAAAATGTCATTCCATTTATATGAAATGGAATATTTTTCTCACATAAAAGAATGAAGTTTACTGATACAACAGTGTTGGATCTTGAAAAAGTTATGCCAAATTAAAGAAAAGGCCACATACTATATGATTCCATTTGTACAAACCATCCAAAATATGTAAATCCACAGATAAGGAGAAGATATTAGTGTTTGCCAGGGGCCAAGGAGGAGGGAAGAATAGGCAGCAATTGCTCAATGGGTACAAGTTTCCTTTGGGGGTGGTGAAATGTCTTAGAACTAGAGAGAAGCACTGGTTGCACAATGTTGTGAATGTATTAATGCCACTGAGTTGTACACTTAAATATGGTTATGGGTAATCTTACGAGAATATTACCTCAATTTAAAAATACATATTCTAGTTACCTCCATGCTAGTTTTCTATTGTTACAAAACAAATTACCACAGTGGCTTAAAAAAAATCTTACCTTAGCTCACAGACCAGAAGTCTTGGATGGGCTCTTAACTTACTTTTCACAAGCAGTAATTAAGGTGTTGGCTGGAGGCTCTGAGGAAGAATCCACTTCCAAGCTCATTTAGGTTGTCGGCGGAGTTCAGGTCCCAGTGATTGTAGGACTGGAATCCCAAATGCCTTCCTGGTTATCAGACCCAGCGGCTACTCAGTGCCCACATCCATGGCACATACTTCCCTCTAGTAGCAGAACTTCAAATATTTCCTCAAACATCTCTGATTTCCTTTTCTGCAATCAGAAGGAGAGAATTCTCTGCTTTTAAAGGGCTCATGTGATTAGACTGGACCCACCTGGATATTCTCTCTTTTGCAGTATAATGTAACATAATCACAGGTGTATTATCTCATCAAACTTATGGGATTCCACCTCATACTCCAAGGGAGATTAAACAAAGACAAGGCAATATCAGAATTTTGCCTACCATCACCTGTTAGGAAAAATTGGTAAACAGTTTCTACTTGTGTCAAGAAAAACTATTGTTTATGTCCAGCATTGTGGGGAGGGTTGGAAGAGCCTAAATGATTTATACCAAGAAAAGTTTTCAGAACCAGTGATTTACAGATTGACACTGCTCAGGTTTCCAAGCCTCAGAAAGAGACTAAAATCTGTCCTTAATAGGTGGGCTTCTCTTTGTGACACCTTGCAATGTCAGGAATGACACACAGTGCAGGTTTTCTGATCCAGCAGACCGGGTAAAGGAGGAGTCAGAGTCCTCAGTGGCTTTTTGCAGGCTTTTATTGGGATTTACCTGGTACACAGCAGGCAGGAATGCTGGGGGGCCGGGAGGCTGGCAGGCCTCCCAGCCCCCAGCAAGTCTTCACTTTATCTGGGCTTTCCTGCGTTCTCTGCTTCTCTCTCGGCTTCTCTTTTGGCTTCTGTTCTTCTCAGCTTCTACTGGCGTCTCCGTGACGCCGCCCTTAAAAAGCCCAGTCTAAGCCCAGGTGAATCCCATCTACCTATGCCCACACCCTACTCCAGGTGCCTGCCATCAGGCATGCATTCAGGACTGCAAAGGATCCATCATCTATCCTGATGGAGGGAGGGCAGAAAAGCCTGACTTTTTCCTTACCCTACACACCTCTCCTAGTTTTCTTTCTCTTCTATCAATACACTGAATGTAAATGCAAAGTAATGGACAAGAGGACCACTGCTCTCTTTGTAGTCATGATGAGAGGCAGACGCAGGTTTTAGGGTCCTAGGTAATTGTGTTATGTATATTAGAAATTCTCACTTTTTGGTCTCAAGAGTCCTGTTATGACAGATTATAAAGACTCTGTGCGCGTGTGTGTGTATGTGTATTATACCTATTGATAGTTAACCATTTTAGAAATTCAATCTGGAAACATTTTAAAAATAAGTTTTGGGGCCTCCCCTGGTGGCGCAGCGGTTGAGCGCTGGGTTGCGAGACTGCCCGCAGCCTCTGCAGCACTAGTTCAATCCCCGGCCACCGGCGAGGGTCCCACAAAAAAAAAAACCTTTAAAAAATAATTTTTGTATTGCAGTAATGTTGCATTATAACATTATATGTTATATATAACTATGTATCAGGTGTGCCTCATTATAAATAACATCTGTACATACCACATTAAGTTTACCACTACAGGGTTCAATATCCTTGACCATACAATTGACCACTTTCTCCTGATTTACCCTTCCTTTTCCCTTCCCTTCTGGTGACCACTATTCTTAGAATCTAAGAGTTTCATTCTGTTTTATTTAGTTCATTTGTTTTGTTTCTTTATGTACCAGATATGAGTGAAAAAATACGGTGTTTGTCTTTCTCGGTCTGACTTACTTCACTAAGCATAATACCCTCTAGGTACATCCATGCTGTTGCAATGACAGGATTTTATCTTTTTAATAGCTAAGGAGTATTCCATTGTGTATATATCCCAAATTGTCTATATCCACTATTTGTCTATAGTAATTTAGGTTGTCAGCTTGTAAGTTTTTTATACACAAAAATATTCAAGAACACATTCTGTCTTTAGAGTGATACCATCACATATCATGCAACCTCTAGAATGGAAAAGAAAATAAAGTCTTGGTATTATTAGGCAACTAGTTGGAGCTCTGAAAAGGTTCCAAGGACCTGCAGGGCTTCCTGGACCACACTTCGAGAATCACTGATAAATGTAAATACCACTGTAGAGTAAGGTAAAAAGTATCAGGCTTTTCTGCCCTCCCGCCATTAGGATGACAGAAACCTGCCGTCCCGAATGCATGCCTGATGGCGGGCACCTGAAGTAGGGTGTGGACCTATGTAGATGGGATTCACCTGGGCTAAGACTGGGCTTTTAAGGGCGGCATCATGGGGACACCAGCAGAAGCGGAGAGAGAAGAAGCAGGAAAGCAGAGAGAACGCCAGAGAAGGCCTAAGAGCCCAGAAAAAGTGAAGATTTGCTGGGGGCTGGGAAGCCTCCCAGCCCCTACTGCGTACCCGGTAAATCCCAATAAAAGCCTGCAAAAGCCACTGAGGGCTCCAGGACTCTTTCCTCCTTTACCCGGTATGCTGGATCATAGAAAACCTGCACTGTGTCCATTCCTACCCCTACAACTACTAAATGAGTTTCTTCAGAGATTAATCATTTTTAGCTATTTGGTGCATTCAGGTGTGCAATCTTAGAAAGAAATCTTATTTCCCTTCACTATTATGTTCTATCTGGTAGACTAATTTCATGTGGCCACTATATCCTGCATGCAGAACGTGTCATTTGCTGCCACAGAGGGAAAAAAATGAGCTAGACAGGTTGTAACATGCATTAAAGCAATACAAGTAAACATGTTTTATGAGCCTCTGGCAGGACCTTTTACTTAGCTAATAGTGCACAGGGAAAATTCCTTTAAATGGTGCATCGTAGTCTGCAGTGGAAGAACTGGGGTAATATCAGGCTGTGAAAGAGACTTAACAGAGAAGAAAACACTGGGGATTCTTGTCATGTTTTGCCCTTGAAAACTCTGCCAAGACCTCTTTTTTTTTTTTCCCTAAATGAAGAAATCTATTTCGTGATTGCTTTAATGACTCAGGGTTCCCCACTTTCCTAATAAACAGACTACATCGTCCAGTTTTGTGTTTTTTTTTGTATCCTGCTTGCAAAACTATGAAGAAAATAAAGCTAAAACCCTCAATTAGCGCTCCATCACGGCTCTTCTGTAAGTGACTAATTTGTTCATTTTCCTCACAATACTTACTATCTTCTGTTCAGTCTCCTCCCCTGCCCCCGCCACACTTAGATCCGGGGCTTCTATTGGTTTTCTGGGGCAAACAATTACAATTTAGAACATGGAAGCTACTGGGTTAAGGGTTTACAAGTCTCCCGCCTCAAGGTTACATCTTGACTCGGTCTTGGTCATGGCCACCCAGAAGGCTGTGATTACCAGAGGGTGACTGTGAGGAACAGCGCGTTCCTGTCAGTAGGGATTAGGCGCACTGGAGACATTCACGACAGGTGAGCAGTGGGTGACAAGAAGAAGCACCAAGCCGACCCAGAGTGGGCTCTCCAGCTGCCCGGCGCGCGCCGCCTCAACTAACCACAGCGCCCCGACTCGAGTCCTTGAAGTACCGGGCGCCGAAGCCCGGCACAACCGCGCGCCCGCGACCGAGGACGTCATCAGCCAGGCGCGCCGCCGCCGCCAGTGCGCATCTTGCGAGTCGCCGACCAATGAAAGAGAAGTCAAATCCCAGGGGCGCACGGTGATTGGCTCTCAGCGTGGAGGCGGGGCGGGAGGGTGGACCTGAGGGCGGGTCCACTTTTGGCCGCGCGGTGCGCGGCGCGGCGGGCCACGTGAGCCGCCTGCTGCAAGGGAAGGCCCGGCGCTGCGGCCCCAGGTGGCTGCCAGCCTTGGACGCCGGGCCTTGCCGGGAGGGGGCGCCAGTCGCGGCTACAGGTGCCCGCCCTGGGGCAGCGCTTGAACTTCACTCCAGCTGTGGGAGGAGGGGAAGAGGAGGAAGGGGCCGGGCCGGGTCCCCGCCCCTCGCACCCCGGATGGATGTGCCCGGCCCGGTGTCCCGGCGGGCGGCGGCGGCAGCGGCCACCATGCTCCTGCGCACGGCGCGGGTCCCTCGCGAGTGCTGGTTCTTGCCCACCGCGCTGCTCTGCGCCTATGGCTTCTTCGCCAGCCTCAGGCCCTCTGAGCCCTTCCTGACCCCCTACCTGCTGGGGCCGGACAAGAACCTGACCGAGAGAGAGGTACGCGCGGCGGGCCGGCCGGGGAGAGCCGGAGCGGGCAGTTAGTGTGCGGAGGAGATGGGGCGAAGCTGCAGCAGCCCTTCTGGACAGAGATTTGTGACTTTTCTCGATTGGAGGGAGGCTCGGTGCTGGGCGCTGCTTTCATTCTTGCTGTTCTTCTGGGATCTGTTGGATTTATGGGGTGCCTTTTATGTGAAGGGCTCGAGAGACGGTGGGGGAGGCCCCTTGACACGGGTGCTTCAGCCGAAGTGAGGTTGATGCTGAAATGTAGCTTAGTCTGACAAAGATCAGACTGGTCCAGCAGAGTTCTGGGGAACCGGGAGGGGGAGTGAGTGAGAGGAGGGCAATATTTGGAGGAAAAAAGTGAAAACAAAAGCTGTACTTTGTATGTGGTAAAGGCTTAGTAAATATTTGTTGACCGGAAGGAGGGAAACAAATGCTGAATAACCCCTGTTTTTCAGAAAGGACCTTCATTCTACCTGCTGCATCCTCTTCCTTTCCTTACCCTACTTTGTTTACCTTTGACAGGATGTTGTGCTCAAATAATGATCCTTCAGGACACGAATCTGTCTTAATTTGTCTATATTTCTAATTGGGTGAGGTTGTGTCCTAGGATGTGTTGACACCCTCTTCCTCATTTAAATGCCAGCTCTTAGGATAAAGCAGATATTTAGATGGTATCACATAATTAGCATGAAACACAGTTTTTCTTGCATTGTGAATTGTTACTTCACAAATGTTAGTTTTGCTCCTGAACTACAAGGGGAAAGCTTTGAAAAGCTTCTGTTCCACTGTAGTGCTCAACACTAGTCCATGGTCTGAAACTTTTTGTTGGTTGATTTTCCCTGATTTTCCCTTCCACGAGGATTTTCCCTTCCACGAGGATAAGTAACATACTTCAGAAGTGCTTGTACTTTATTTAACTCTTAAAGTTAGGGTTAATCCCAAGACTTGATTTTTACAGAGAAAAGATTTAAATTAACTGAAGGAGGAATTAAACCTAAGTTACTACCAAAAAAAAAAAAACAAAATACAGGGCCTCCCCGGTGGCGCAGCGGTGGAGCGCTGGCTTGCAAAGCTGCCCGAAGCCTCCGCAGCGCCGGTTGGATAGCCGGCTGCTCCCCGGCCACCGGAGGAGGGTCCTGCATGGCGCGCAGACCTCTCTTGCCGCCCGCTGCTCCCCTCAGCAGTGTACTTCGTCACTCTGGCTGTTCTGCTCTCCACCCTCCCGCGCTTCTGACTGTATCCAGTGCTTGTATAAATAAATAAATAAATCTTTGAAAAAAAAAAAAAATACAGCAGATTCAATACCATCTCCCTTGAACACTATGAACGGTGAAAGCTGAGTGGGCACTAGTTAGCCTGGCTAGTTAGTAGTCACCTCTTTTGAGTCATAACTTGGTATCCCTGCATAACAAGTCAGAGCAGAATGTAATTACTCATAGTCTGGTTTGTTGTTACATTGCTCCTTAAGGAAAGCTGGAGTTGAATACTGGATTGAAGTTTTCATTAGAGTTCCTCATATTTTCTCAGCTCTGGCAGGTATTATTAACTTTTACCTAAACTTCAAATCTTCTATTTCTCAGTTTGTGGATAACTCCAGAAGGGATTGCAACAGTTTGAATTTTAATGTAGGTTACAAACAACAATAAGGTGCAGAGGGCCAACTCTGGTGAACAGAATGATTTTACAAAAAGAGAAAATTGCTGCGGGCAGTATGAGAGGTCCTGGCGTCCCAGGTGTAGCCACTGGAGCAGAGACTAGACTGTGAGCTGCTAACAATTAAAGTTTCATGTACACTGCCATGTGATCCAAACAATTAGTGCACCTTACCTGGCAGAGAAGCCCATGGAGGGGGAAATGCTCCCAGTGTTGATATTTGAAAGCTGATCTGTTTTGCCATATGCCCTGGGCAGAGAGTTGCTTACAAGTCTTATCAAAAACTTTTAGGGTGAGTATGTTCAGGGGCCATAGGAATAAAGCAAGAGTACCAGGTCCAGTAAATATTTGCCGATTGTGTAACAAAAACATAGCACACTTCTGTGACTGCAGATTAGGTGAGGAAGAAGAAAGGGTCTGAAGAGAAACTGAGTGGTTGGAAAAGGGGTGTCCATTTGTATCTGAATCTTGACTGATTTGGCAGTATGACTCTGCTCACCTCCTACAGAACCCTAGGTTTTTGTAATCTCTGATAACTAAAATAGACCAACTAGTTCTCCTTCTTGACTGTCAGCAACCACTGTGCTCATTATTTGAGCACAAATATTGCATGCTTTTTAGACAAAGGTAATCATCAGTGATGTTTGTGCAGACATTTGTGTCTCCCCTAAGACAACTTTAGAAGGGACGGGTTTTAAATCAAGCTATTATTGTTAACCAAATCCAAAATCAAAAGGAAAAAAAAAAGAATTTCCTCTAATTTTGTACTTTCACTGAATTTTTTCCTTATGTGTTAGGAAAATTGTTAACCTGTTTTAGATTTAAAGCTTATGTTTTAAAAAGGTTAAAAGTTGGGCCTTCCTGGTGGCGCAGCAGTTGAGCGCCGGGTTGCGAAGCTGCCCGCAGCCTCTGCAGCACCGGTTCGATCCCCGGCTGCTCCCCGGCCACCGGAGGAGGGTCCCACATGGCGCGCAGACCTCTCCTGCTACCAGCTGCTCCCCTCAGCAGTGTACTTCGGTCCGTCTGCCTGTTCTGCTCCCCGCTCTGGCTCTGGTGAATTCTCTCACCCTCCCGCACGTCTGACTGTACCCAGTGCTTGCATAAATAAATAAATAAAAATAAATCTAAAAAAAAAAAAAAAACAAAAAAATAAAAAGGTTAAAAGTTGACTGTATTTCAAGTTGAAAGCCAGACTTTATTATTTACTATTTAGAGCTCTTTGTCTCTGAAAACTTTTTACCTTTTTAGCATGACAAACATTCATTAACTTTCCTTTGATTTTTTTTAATTTCCCCTATTCTGACTGATTTTCAGCAACTTACAGAATTTAACTCTTAACATACTTAACATACTTAACATCCTTATCTCTTGCTATATCCTTCTTTCCCTTGCTTTTTCCCCTTAGCCAAACCCAAGCTCCATTCACATTAATCTTACACTTCCTAAATCCTGCGTAGCAGATCTTCCACCTACTGCCCTATAGGTGGAGATATGATCTCTGCTTAGAACAATCCTTCCATACATATCTATTGATATTTTTCTGTTAATCCCACTTTTGCATTCTCCAAGGTCCATCTCAAAGAAGCAGCCCCGTGTTTCCTAGGTCCCTTATTAATAATGTATGTATGTGTATTCTTGACTAGGTTCAGAACTCCTGGAGGAACAAGTCTTCATTTTCTTCTTTTGTGTGTGTAGTGTAATCACCATACAGCTTGAAATCAGAGTTGTGCAAATAAGTGCTTATTGTCTAAAAAGTTGTTTACAAATTAGTTGTTTAATTAAAACTTAATTATAAAATAAAGACTGTATCTGAATTACTGTCGAGACCTGAACTTGTTTTCTGTCTTGGAAGAAAGTATAAACAAGCTGTGATCAAAAGAGTTGTGAAAGGCAGCATAGCATAAAATCAATCCCCTTTGCTTACAGGGCACATTTTACCCGAGATAAGTTAGAGGGGTTTGTACAGTAAAAGTCTGCTATTTGTACATTTTTGCATGTAGGAAGTTTCCTTTCAAGATCCAAAATATCTGTCCAAGAAGTGGTTTCTGGTGTAATATCTTCTCTTGGGGAGCATTTAAAGAAAAGGGATCTGTTTTGGGGCACCCAGTGACTAAGCTGTGGAGATTGTGTTTTATCTCTTCACAGATGTCCTGTAAAAGCACTTCAGTGCAGGTTTAAAAAACTGCTGCAGACCTTAGAAGTAACCCAGGAACATAGATGCCAGTAACAGTTTTCTGGTTGAGAAAATGAGGCATTTTATTGAGTTGGATTTGGAACATCTGGGTTTAGAGCCTCCGTCTGATAACTTTGGCTAATTACTTAACCTTTATCAAAGGCCAAGCTTCCTCAATTGTAAAATAGATGATAAAAGCATAACTTGGCAGTTAATTGTTTGAGGTCAACAATTACTGAGAAATACAGAACATGTCTAAGTACAGACAAAATTAAGTGCCCGAAGAGTCAGTTAAAATCCCAACGAGTGTGGTAGACAACAAAAGAAGTGATACTGAAGGAGGAAATAGAGGAAAGATGTGATAACAGATAGCTTTGTGGTGTTGTGTTGGAGAAAATGTGAATGTGAAGTAACAGGCTTAATCAAACAGAGGAGGCAGTTTCAAGCTTAAGAAGACAGACTATCTGTAAAACTACAGGCAAAAAAGGAGTAGGGAGATGTTTATTAGAACACAATTGTGAAAAATCTTTAGGAAAGGCTTCACTTCATCATAAGCTTGCCCTTGCACTTTGTTCCTTGTCTGCTAGAATTTTCATACTTTTAAATAAGAAACATTTCTTTGGTTCTCTGTTAGTCATTCATCTGCATATTCAGGTGCAAGAAAATGTGGAGGTTGCTAGATGATTTACAAATACAAATTAGTCTAAAATTCATGAAGGTGAGACTAGTAGACAAATCACTTTTGGTATTTGGTCGTCAGAAATCAGAACACAAATCTGAAATATATTTCAGATTGTTTTATAGTTGTGTTCTGCATTGTAACAGGTTATTTCGACTATATTCCAATTTAAGATACATATATTGAAAACAGCAAAAGCATTTTTTCCATATTACAGATAAGCAAAAATCCTGCCATCTTTCTGTCAAGACTTTAGGGCAGTTTTACCCTCTTTATTCTGTACCCCCAAGAAATCAACTTAAAATCAGAGAAAATTAACCAAACGGTAGTCTGAGGACTCCCTATCCTATAGTTAGAAGTAAGAATCGATGATTCCAAAACATTTATCAAGTATCATCCAAACATTATACTGATTATTAAGTTGTACAGGTAAATGTTAGTCTATCCTTAAAAAAACTATAAGGCAGTGGTGCTCAACTCTGACTCATATTTAAATCTCCTAGAGGTTTATAAAAACTTCCTGTGGCCAGGCATCCGGATTCTTTAAATTTCCATGGAAGATGTGCAGCCATCATTAAGAACCCATGCTATGAGGTAATTGGTAAAACTGACATATACAAAGCAGAAGCAAGAGAATCTTGAATGTTACCATATATATACTGAACAGCAGGATAAGGAAAGCTTTGAACTAGACCTTAGTGAATAGGGAGGATTTTCACAGGAAAACACAAAATGAGCAGGAAATGTGAAGTATATTCCAAACAATTATTAGAATTATTGTCAGTATTTCTTTGGTCGATAAGGAAAGAAGTAGTTTTAGGGTTGGCAGATTGTTTTAGAAGAACAAATTAAGAAAATTCAAGAACCTCTAATATCACTAATGGGTTTTTATTCTTTTCCTACCAGGTCTTCAATGAAATTTACCCAGTATGGACTTACTCTTACCTGGTGCTGCTGTTTCCTGTGTTCCTTGCTACAGACTACCTCCGTTATAAACCTGTTGTTCTGCTGCAGGGACTCAGCCTTATTGTTACATGGTTCATGCTGCTCTATGCCCAGGGACTGCTGGCCATTCAGTTCTTGGAATTCTTCTATGGCATCGCCACAGCCACAGAAATTGCCTATTACTCATATATCTACAGTGTGGTTGACCTGAGTATGTACCAGAAAGTCACAAGTTACTGTCGAAGTGCCACATTGGTGGGCTTCACAGTGGGCTCTGTCCTAGGGCAAATCCTTGTCTCAGTGGCAGGCTGGTCCCTGTTCAGCCTGAATGTCATCTCTCTTACCTGTGTTTCTGTGGCTTTTGCTGTGGCCTGGTTTCTACCTATGCCACAGAAGAGTCTTTTCTTCCACCATATTCCCTCTACTTGCCAGGGAATGAATGGCATCAAGGTACAAAATGGTGGCATTGTTACTGAAACCTCAGCTTCTAATCACCTTCCCGGGTGGGAAGACATTGAATCAAAAATCCCTCTTAATATGGAGGAGCCTTCCTTGGAGGAACCGGTAAGTTCCACCTTAAATGTCTTGTAGTTGCTATTCTGAAGTCTAGATATATGGTAACAAAACAGAGAGGAAGCCTCCTTTTGCTTACCCTTGTACTGTATTCATTGGGATTCAGGATTTATCTTGAGTTCATTCATTGAGTTCATTTATTCATTTGACTCAAGATAAAGTTGATTTATATTAGGGCTGACAAATACTTTTTTCCCTGAAATGTGTAACCTCCAAAGTCAGGTACAGCATTATATTGCTACGTCAAGGATGTGGTAGATTGCAGGAGCTGTCTTTTCTTCATTTTTCTAGCCCAAGGACTTGGTATGTAAAGAACGCACTTAGAAATCTGCTAAATGCAGAGATGAAATGATTTCAATAAATGATAGGTAGGTACCTACTTCCAATTTCTGAGTTGAAGCCCAATGTATTTAAAGGTAGGAAGTTATGCCATAAGTGATCTCTGATGTTCATTTTCAAATGATAATTTGCTGAAGTGGAAGAGTTATAAATTATACAGAGAAAGAGCCTCACAAGAGGAAAACTTATGATGATGGAATAAGTATTAATAGTGTGGTTAAGAAATTGTCTCTTGGAGAGAGAGAGGTATGGCATCAGAATAATTCATCCATCCATTTGCTTGGCCAGGAAGATTAATTGTCTTTTTTTTAGATAAGAGCTTTTATAAACTGTTAAAAACTGTGACGGGCAAGGTTCATTCCAACCATACTGAATTAGCCTTAGCTTTTTTCCTGGGACGTGTTTAGAAATAAGCTATTAACATTCCAACTTTGTATGCAGGCTTTTTCACACATACAATAGAGCGTCATAAGCATTTTTGGCAGTATGACAGTAAAGAACCAACATGAGTAGTCTTTGGCTTTTCCTCTAGAGTTAGCCCAAATTGTTTTAGTGTGGCATCTTATGTCCTCATTGAAAATTACTCTTTTGCCTAACCCCATTTTTCCCCTGATCACTAGTTGAAATGTTGGTTATTATCCTAAAGAACCTGGGTCACACTCATGAAACCCATTTTGATTACTAGGCACTTGTGGGGAACGTCAGTCAAAATGAACAGTGATTAGCAATGAAGTGCTGATTTCTTTATAGATTGATACATCTCTGTATCTATTAACATAGGTGACACATTCATTTTTTTAAGTGAAACTGGAGAATCAACAAATGATAAATGGGGGTGAGAAGGAAATACAATCATTTGATAGTTCTCATGTAGTAACACAATAACTAAGGACCCTATTTTACCTGTTTCAGATGTATTAAATTGTTTTACCTTAATATGTACGTACATAATTATAGCATTTATACCTATACATACATATATTAATATATTGGCTGTAGTTCTTTTTTTTTTTTTTTTTTTAATAGAGGCATGTTTTCTTTATTTCTTTGTTTTGTTTATACATGCACTGGGTACAGTCAGAAGCGCGGGAGGGTGAGAGAACCCACCAGAGCCAGAGCGGGGAGCAGAGCAGGCAGAAGGACCGAAGTACACTGCAGCGGGCGGCAGGAGAGGTCCGCGTGCCATGCGGGACCCTCCTCCGGTGGCCGGGGAGCAGCCGGGGATCGAACCGGCGCCGCAGAGGCCGCGGGCAGCCTCGCAACCCAGCGCTCAACCACTGCGCCACCGGGGAGGCCCTATTGGCTGTAGTTCTAAAGAATTTTATCGACCAGCGAGTTTTTAACTTTTTAAAACGTGTAAAAACATAGTAAGAAACTCATTTTATATGAGTATATGCATATAGATGTCAATATATATACATACATGTCTATATATAAAACAAGTTTTTTTATTTTATATAATTCTTACATCATTTTTCATTTTTGCACAATGTATGCATTTTCATTTTGATTATATTCCCCATACAATTGCACCCCCCCTTATTTTGACCTTCATTCTTCCTCTTCCCCCTCCCACCCGCAGTGTGTCTCTGGTTTATAGTTGCTTGTTGTAGGGTAAGGTAAAAAGTATCAGGCTTTTAGGATAGATGAACGATCTGGGGTCCTGAATGCATGCCTGATGGCGGGCACCTGAAATAGGGTGTGGGCCTATGTAGATGGGATTCACCTGGGCTAAGTCTGGGCTTTTAAGGATGGTGTCACGGGGACACCAGCAGAAGCAGAGAAGCAGAGAGAATGCCTGAGAGCACAGGAAGAGTGAAGACTTGATGGGGGCTGGGACGCCTGCCAGCCTCCCGGCGCCCCAGCACCCCTACCTGCCATGTACCCGGTAAATCCCAATAAAAGCCTGAAAACCCGCCGAGGTCTCCAGGACTCTCTCCTTCTTTACCCGGTCTGCTGGATCAGAAAACCTGCTCAGTGTGTCCCTTCCTGCCCCTTACACTTGATTTTGATTTTTAAAAAGTTTTTTTATTTATTTATACAAGAACCGGGGTACAGGCCAGATGCACAGGAGGGTGAGAGGATTTACCAGAGACAGAGTGGGGGGAGTAGAACAGGCAGATTAACAGAAATACACTGATGAGGGGAGCAGCGGGGGAGTCAGGAGAGGTCTGCTGCGCCATGTAGGATTCTCATTGGCCTGCTGGGATCGAACCCATACTGCAGAGGCTGCGCAGACAGCTTCACAGTGTGGCGCTCAACGGCCTGTGCCACCAGCGAGGCCCTAAAACAAAAGTTTTATAACACAGTATTTTATTCTGACACATTCCACTCAGTTTATTTTTTATAATGCAGATCACTGCCCATTAAATTAATTTTATTACCTATTAATGATTGTGACTTACAGTTTAAAAAACAACTTGAAATTTGCTGTTTATAATGTCAGTACTTGACATGCTGAAGAATTACAAAATTGTGGAGTTAGAAGTGATTCAAACCACAGCTTGCAGCTATCAGAACATCTTAAAGTTACAAGGAACTTTAGATCTCATGAACCCTCTCATTTTGTTTTTTTTTTTTTTTTAGAATTCAAATTTTAATCAGATACATTTGTCCAATGTCCCCACATTGCACCACTAACCACACATCTGAGGAGATTCATCACACAAATATAATCACATAAGAGTAATTACATGCATAGAGGAAATTTTTAGTTTTGTTTTCACATTTTAATAATTTTGGTCTGGCCTCAGAACAAATAATCTTTTTCAAGAATGATTTTCAAAATTCAGTGTGCACAAGAATTCCCTAGAAAGATTTTTAAAAGCTATTGAGCACTGTTGCTCTGTAATACTTATAGTCATGTTCACAACCAAGTTCTATACTCATTTTAGATGTCCTTAGGAATTTATTTATTTATTTTTTTAAATAATAAATTTTATTTTTATATTCCCCCATACAATTGCAAAAGCCCCATTCTGACACCAATCCTTCCCTTCCCGCCCCCCACCCCCCAAAAAGTGTCTCTGGTTCATAGTTTTTTGTTGATTTTGATTTTCACTTTCTTATATTCATTTTCCTGGTCCCTTATTTAAGTTTTCTAGATTCCTGCTATGAGTGAGACCATCCGGTATTTTTCTTTTTCTTTTTGGCTTATTTCGCTGAGCATGATCCCTTCCAGCGCCATCCATGTTGCTGCAAATTGCATGTGTTTATCTTTTTTGAATGCTGAGTAATATTCCATGGTATATATGTACCACATCTTCTTGATCCAGTCATCTATTTTTGGGCATTTGGGTTGTTTCCAAAGCTTAGCTATTGTAAACAGTGCTGCTATAAACATAGGGGTGCAGGTGTTCTTTGGAATGGATGTTTCTGTGTCCTTTGGGTAAATACCTAGGAGTGGAATTGCTGGATCATATGGAAGCTCTATGTTTAGTAGGTCCAGAAATCTCCACACAGCTCTCCATAGTGGTTGGACCAGTTTGCACTCCCACCAACAGTGCAGAAGAGTTCCTTTTTCTCCACACCCTCGCCAACATTTGTTGTTGCTAGTTTTTTTAATATGTGCCATTCTCACTGGTGTGAGATGGTATCTCATGGTAGTTTTGATTTGCATTTCCCTGATGACAAGTGATGTTGAACATTTTTTCATATGTCTGTTGGCCATTTGCATTTCCTCTTCAGAGAAGTTTCTTTTTAGCTCTTCTGCCCATTTTTTGACTGGATTATTTTCTTTGTTGTTGCTGAGTCTCATCAGCTCTTTGCAGATTTTTGTGATCAGTCCTTTATCATTAGTGTTGGGTGCAAAAATGTTCTCCCAGTTGGTGGGATTTCTCTTTGTTTTTGTTATTGTCTCTTTTGCTGTGCAGAAGCTCTTTAATTTGATGTAGTCCCAGCTGTTTATCTTTGCCTTCACTATCACTGCTTTGGGTGATGTGTCTGTAAAGATGTCTTTGATGTGCAAATCCCGTAGTGTTTCGCCTATATTTCCTTCTATGTATTTTATGGTTTCAGGTCTTATGTCTAGTTCTTTAATCCATTTTGAGTTGATTTTTGTGTATGGTGTGAGGTAGTGGTCAAGCTTCATTCTTTTGCATGTAGCAACCCAGTTTTCCCAGCACCATTTATTGAACAAACTTTCTTTGCTCCAATGCATAGTCTTTGCTCCTTTGTCAAAGATTAGTTGACCATAAATCTGTGGGTTTATTTCTGGATTTTCTATTCGATTCCATTGGTCTGTATGTCTGTTCTTGTTCCAATACCATGCAGTTTTGATGATTATGGCTTTGTAGTATAGTTTGAAGTCTGGGAGTGTGATGCCTCCATTTCCTTCTTTTTTTTTCAGTAGAGCTTTGGCTATTCGGGGTTTTTGGTGATTCCATATGAATTTCATCAATAATTGTTCTATTTCTTTGAAGAATGACATTGAAATTTTGATTGGAATAGCATTGAATCTGTATATTGCTTTTGGTAGGATGGCCATTTTAATAATGTTTATTCTTCCAATCCATGAGCAGGGGATGTCTTTCCATTTCTTTGTGTCTTCTTCTATTTCTTTTAACAGTGTTTTATAGTTTTCTTTGTATAGGTCCTTTACCTCTTTTGTTAGATTTATTCCCAAATATTTGATTTTTTTTGTTTCGATAATAAAAGGGATGGTTTTTTTGATTTCTTCTTCTTCAGATTTGTTGTTTGTGTATAGGAAGGCTACTGACTTTTGCGTGTTGATTTTGTATCCTGCCACTTTACTGAATTGATTGATGAGTTGAATTAGTTTTTCTGTGGAGATTTTGGATGAACCCTCTCATCTTAAAGAAAAGGATTAGGGGCAGAAATTAGTGACTTATGCAGAATTGTGCAAAAATACTCCTAAACATAAGCACACATCTAAAGATCTGCTTCAATCTGTACTTTGTCCCATAAACTTTCCTTCAGGTGTTAGCATGATCAGAACCATTATGTTCACTGCATTGTGGAAAAAACTAGGATTCAAATCAGCTCTGTAATATCCTTGGCTCTGCTGCTGATGCCCTAACAGACAGGCAGTGCTGCCTGGCAGCTGTACAGCGCTAAAGTACTACTGGTTTTTTACTGAAAAACAAAGTTAGAATATGAATATTGGGATCATGATTTAATGTTGACAAAGCCCATAATTGACCCTTAAATCATAATTATGTCATTGTGGAGAGAAAAATAGGTGGCTTGTAGAAAAGGAAAATAAAAGGAGTCAGAGGGATTGCCTCATTAACAAGTTACCTTAGAGTATTTATTCTAAAAATAAGTCTTTCTTTGGGGCAAAGGGACCTGACATTTCAGGAAAAGGAGCCATCACAGCCAGTGGTTTCCTTCCTTCATAGGGTTTCATCATATGCTTGGCCTATAACTGTGACCTGATTTATTTTAAGTTGCTCATCCATTAGAAATGATGAAAATTACTTCCACTCCAAATGATGTAAGTTAAATCAGTGTAGGGACTGAAATGTAATTAATATTTAATAATGATATCTATTAATATAACTGTACTTTGATCCATGAAATAGTACCGGCCATGATGGCTTTCAGTGCAAGGTTTCTAAACTCAAGAAGGAAAAGCAGTGCAGTGAAACATTAGGCATAAATTTGTTGCCTAATAAACTTTTGCTGAATTATTAAACTAAAAATAAAGGCTATGCTTTCATTTGTATATTGAGACCTTTTACTATTAGCAAACATTCTTTGTATGTGTGTTTGAGTTCTTTAAAACACTGACAGCAGCAAAATCAATGCTTGTACTTTGTGCTTGATAATCGTTTCTAACAGCATAGTGTAGTGGATTTTTAATAAAGACAAATAAGGTCAAGCCCTAGTTCTGATACTAACCAATAGGATATTTTGTGCAGATTACTTAATTCTTTGAGACTTCGTTTCCTGATTCATATCTCTACCTTGTAAGGTTATTTTAAGTATCAAATGAAGTAATGCAAAGCTTTCAGATGAGTGTATGTAATAGACACATACACACACGTATCAGGTGGTCATTTCTATTATTATCTATATCCTAAGAACAACTTTGTACAGTCACTGTAGGTAGTTACTTATTTGCTATGCTGTAAGTAATCTTTCATTTTCTATTTGAGTTGGTTACCTCTCCTGAAAGGTATCACTAGAATCTGGCACTAATTATATCACTCATTCTTTTTCTGTGAGTTAGGCATTTAACTTGGGATTGCAGACATTTAACCACACCTACTAAAAGGTTATCGAAAGAAGACTGACAGCAGGAGGGAGTAATTGTTTCTCATGCAATGTAAGATTTGACCTCTGACCAGCGAGTGCAGGTTGAATTTTGCTGTTACCATTGATACTATTAATCTGTAGCATGGTTCTGTTACATGTCCTGGCTTCTGTATGCTATTTCATAGTCAGATTTCCTTTGGTTCCTTTGGATTCTCATTTTGCCTTTCCTTGTTAGTCACAAAAGTAAAATTCCATATGAGCAGAGCTCAGGAATTAAGGCAAACTTTGATAGATTACACTGTTGATAAAATTGAAGTCAGAGGTAATCTCATAGTGTCTGGAATTTCATATTCCCTTGGCATAGTCTTGGGTTGGTACATAGCTCAGTAACATCTTGGCTCACTCAATTATAAACATATTAGCTTTATTAGTTACAGTAATAATATTTCCAATTGTATAAATAGCAGGTAATGAATATAAGGAAGAAAATTAATAACCCCACTGCCTAGAACTGCAGAATAGAGAACTGCTAATATTTTGATCTATTTCTTTCTAAGATATCTATCTTAATTACTATTCAGTGATTCTGTCAGAAGGATAACAGGTTCTCATTGATATAAAATCAAGCAGTGATTATTTTAATAGTGTTACTGGTTGTTGCAGCTGTGTGGGGAGATGTGGAATGTTACCTCCCTTTGACCAAAGTTTGCAGTCTCTGACCATCTTTCTACTTTCATTTTATAAAAAATATATCCTTTACTTGGTTGGTGACATACAGCTATGCTAATATTTATAAAGCATTTAAAACAAAAATTTTATGAGAATGTGTTTTTTCGCTAGAGAGGATAAATATAAATAAATGCTAAGAAGGTTATAAAGGAATTAAGCAGATTGTTTTCACAAGGCAAAAGAAGGAGTGACTGTTAAATAGAAAATTGATTCTATTCAATAACATTCTGTACAGTTGCCTTTGTTTGAGGTTTATTCCCTTTTGCTGTGTAGGAACCCAAGCCAGACCGTCTCCTGGTGCTGAAGGTACTATGGAATGATTTCTTGATGTGCTACTCCTCTCGCCCTCTGCTCTGCTGGTCCGTGTGGTGGGCCCTCTCCACCTGTGGCTACTTTCAAGTGGTTAATTACACACAGGGCCTATGGGAGAAGGTGATGTCTTCTCGCCATGCTGCTATCTATAACGGTGGTGTGGAGGCTGTTTCAACCTTACTGGGTGAGTGATGCAGGACAGTAGAGGGTGATTGGGAGGGAGAGCGGCCTCTGGTAGCTAAGTCAGTCATAATCAGATTTTCTTTCCCATTCCAAATTGGAAATAATCCCAAAGGATGATTATTTATATTTTAGGAGAAAAATTATATAATTTGGAGGAACGTTTAGAAGTGCACAAGTGGTAGAGGACTATAACTAACAAACTTAATTTCTTTATAACCTCTGGGAATCCATAAATAATGATTTAAAAGAAATGTTTCCTGGGGGTCTCCCTGGTGGCGCAAGGGGTTAAGACAGCACTATCAAGCTATCTCCAACCACTGTGGCCTGAGTTCGATCCCCGGCCAGGGAGGTCACCCACTTGGAGCAGCAGAAGACCTCTCCTGACTAGGCTGCTGCTCCCCTCAGCAGTGTATTTCAGTCTGCCTGTTCTGTTCCCCACTCTGTCTCTGGTGAATCCTCTCCCCTCCCCCTACCTCTGGCCTGTACCCCAGTTCTTGTATTCATACATCTTTAAAAATAAGTTTCATTATCCAAATTTCCATCATTTTGTGTTTACTGGATGGTGTTTTCACTTGATGTGAAACTTTTGATAGCTAATATCTACTGAATGTTAATGTGTGCAAGGTGCTAGTCTGGGGACTTTATGGATACAGTAGTCCTCCTTTATTGGCAGTTTTACTTTCTGCTGTTTCAGATACCTAACAGTCAACTGCAGTCCCAAAATATTACATACAATAAGATTTTGAGAGACCACATTTGCATAACTTTTACTACTATATATTCTTGTAATCATTCTATTTTATTATTAATCTCTTACTATTCCTAAATGTGTAAGTTAAACTATAGGTATAGGTATAATCACTGGCAAAGGAAAAACATAGTACAGCAGGTCCTTGAATATTATCATTTCTCTGTAACTTTGATGAGAAAAAAAATAATTCTGGCTTAGGCTGAATATAATGATGTTATTAAAGGACCTGATTTGTTATTCATCGAACCTGTTTTCATTATTTATTGTTTTACTTAAAAATCATAGTTTCCAAGAATCTGTTAATGACATTAAGTGAGGTCTTACTGTATGTATAGGGTGCAGTACCATCTGTTGGTTCAGGCATCCACTGGAGCTTGTATCCAATGATAAGAGGCAAATGCTTGACACAGTCCTTACAAAGTGCCTTAAAGAGATGCAGTTATTATCCCTATTTTATGGTTAAGGAACAAATAGGTTAATAACTTACTTGCTCAAGGTCATGTAGATGGTAAATAGTAAAATCAATATTTGAACATAGATTGGGTGACTTCAGCACCTGTGTCCTTTACCTTTATATTCTATATTCTTTATATTCTTCAGATTTGTTGACCTACCTCATAAGGCTATTGGAAGACTTTACATGATTTCTGCAAACTCTTTTAACTGTGCCTGGCATTTAGAAAACATTGTGTACATTTTAACTGTTACTATCATCATCATCATCATTTTATCAAAGGGCAGAAACACCTGTTTTTGCCATATTCTAAACTGCTCCTCAGGAGAAGAAAAGACCCATCCTAGCATGATGCTGAGCTAGAAGTGGTTCTTTTCTCTTGCCTCCCACTCAGCCTGGGTAGTTTTTTCCTTACAGCAGCATCCCTGGGTCTGTGTTCTCCTTTTCCATCTCATTGCCAACTGCCCTAATTTATGTAGTCTTTCATCACCTCTCAGTTGCTCTATGTAATTTATTCTAACAAATCCAAAATTCTCTGCTTGACTTTCAAAGCCCTCCTTGACTTTGCGCTAAACTATCTATAACCGTAAAACTATTAAAATTAATAACTTAAGAATATTTTAACTTAATGAAGTAGCACTTATTTAGCAAAGTAACTAGGTTCCTCTTTTTGTTTTCTAGGTGCTGTTGCAGTGTTTGCAGTTGGTTACATAAAAATATCCTGGTCAACTTGGGGAGAAATGACTTTGTTTCTGTTTTCTCTCCTGATTGCTGCTGCTGTGTATATCATGGACACTGTGGGTAACATTTGGGTGTGCTACGCATCCTATGTTGTCTTCAGAATCATCTACATGTTACTCATCACTATAGCAACGTATGTATTTTGATTCAAAGACGAATTACAAAAAGTTGTGTCAGAATAAACTTTGTAGTTTCTTTACAAACAAATCATTTTTTTAGTTAAAAACAGCAAATAAGAGGAATCATTGAATTTTTTTGTGCATTATCAGTTTTTCTCCTGAGAAAGCATTTAGTCAAAATTTGCTTCTTTACAAGTTCCTGATGTTTTTAGATGCTTGCCTGAGATTTATATCAGTTAGCCCAAAATACATTTCACTTGGTTGGGAAGGGAATTGACAGTAGAAAGAAGAGACTTCTCTGCATTTAAAGTAAATATTGTAACGAATCAGGAAGTAGTTCTAGTCTTTTAATTATTCTTTTATTTGTTTCTTTTTTTAAGTTTTCAAATTGCTGCCAACCTCAGCATGGAGCGCTATGCCCTGGTGTTTGGTGTAAATACCTTCATTGCTCTAGCACTGCAGACTCTGCTCACTCTAATTGTGGTGGATGCCAGTGTCCTTGGCTTAGAAATTACCACTCAGGTGAGATTTCCATTTTGACACTGAAGATAATATGATTTGATCAGAGTGACAGAAGTGGAGCGTGCTTAATAAAAGCAAATTCAAGCAGTGCAGTCAAATATGAAGTAAAAATATTCCTTCCTTCTTTCAGTCACCTCCCATCCTTAGTTCTTTCCTACCAGGAGGATGTTGGGGCCATCATCTTTTTGATGAGACCCTAGAACATTTCTGACAATAAACATCCAGAGAAGCTAAGAAGTAATAGTGGTTCCTTTCAGACCAAACAACTTCTGGTTCCTCATCTGTTGGTTTCCCTCCATTTTTAATTCTGTACCTGGAATACTGTATCCCATGTTTGAGATACCCTGCTGTATCTAGCACTTCTCTAAATCTCTTTACTACTTTATTTTTAATGGAGAACACACATGCACAAATAGCCAAAGACAATGCTAATACTAATAATCATTCTGGGATTGTATAGTTACATATGCCTTTATTGTGAATTTGTTAGGTACTTGCTTGCTCTTTGCTTTGCCTGATGGGCACATGAATTCAGAAGTGCCTACTACATCCATCCCAGTTCAAAGGATTCCTTCTCCATGAGTCCCTCCATATTCATAGTTTTCTTAGAATACAGAAACCCAACATATTAGCAATAACTAACTTTGTTTTTCCTGATGATATCTAAAAGAGAAATAATAGTAATAGTGATGTATGTTAAGTGATTTCTATGTGCCAGGTACTTTATATAGAATTTTGCAGGGCTGCGGTCAGGATTAGACATGGAGAAAATGATTCAGAGAGATGTAAAGTAATGTTAAGTGTTGAATAAGTTCACACCATTAGTAATAGAGTGGCAAAGCTAGGCAGTGCTTCTCCCACTGTATCCTGCTGCTTCGAAAAGGTATTGGGAGGAAAGCAGAGGAGTGGGAGTTTATTATTTTCTATATGTAACCAATTAATATCAGCAATAAATATCCCTAGACCGCTTCTCAGGGGTTACACATTTGGGAGGAAAAGTAAGAGAAAAACTAAGTGCTTATCATCCTGCTGTAGAGATGGTGGATTTAAATATAGGGAACAATAGGATTTTGTGAGCTAAACTGAAACTTCCATGATTGCCAGGTTTTTCCATTGGAAAATATATCCAAATTTTAATGAACTTGGCTCAAAGCCTTAGAGTGACACTCTTTTCCCGTGAACCAACTTATAAGTATTTAGTAAGTTATTTTAAAATGATGATGATACTAATCCTGTTGATAAACTATATAGTCACATTAAAACATTGGCTTAGGGGCCTCCCTGATGGCACAGAGGTTAAAGTCTCAGGACTATCAAGCAATTTCCAGCCACTGTGGCCTGAGTTTGATCCAGGCCATGGAGCTAACCCACATGGCACAACAGACCTCTCCTTTCTTGCCTGCTTCTTCCCTCAGCAGTATATTTCAGTAGATCTGCCTGTTCTGCTCCCCACTTTGTCTCTGGCGAATCCTCTCAACCTCTGCACCTCCGGCCTACATTTCTTGTATGCATAAATAAAATAAATCTTAAAAAAAAATTGACTTAAAGAAAATTGTTCTAAAAGGACTCCTGCAGTGAAATATGCTTGACCTTCTACTGCCCTCTTATGGGGAAGAGTAGAAGTTCTTGATCTTCAGAATTTGGCATGTTAATCTTACACACCTATCTGCCTAAGGGCACAGACCATGAGCAACAAAAATAAAAACAAGAATATTAATAGCATTATCATTGTATTACATTGTGTACATGATCTCATCCCATCTTGACAGCCCTCTAAATTAGGAAATACTGTGAATTTCATTTTGTAAATGAAGCCAAGGCTCAGAACTAAGTATCTCAATCAAGGTCACACAGCTGATAAAGGATGTGATCAAGACTTATTTGCACTCAGGCAGCCAGGTTTCTGTGTCACCATATTACCCTGCTTCTTTATATCTCCAGTGCCTTGCACATTGTGGAAGTACACTGTGCTTCTTGAAGTTTTATTGAGAATATGAATAAACCTTTAATTATACAGTGTTCTTGCATATGTTATAAAGGCGCTCATCTTCTAATGGTTAATTCTATAAACTTCTCCCTCCCCGCCCCCAGTTCCTGATCTATGCTGGTTATTTTGCATTCATCGCTGTGGTTTTCCTCGCTAATGGTATAGTCAGTATTATGAAGAAATACAGAAAGCATGAAGATCCAGAATCAAGTTCTCATGCAACCACTTCATGAAACAATGTGCTAACCTTCTCATAGCAAGAACTCTGCACAGCAACTGTGTTTGGATATATTTAATTTTGTAAGGTGTAAACATATGTTTATAACTGTGTATTTCATGGCTTCAGAACAGCCAAATGACTATACCTTGCATTAGTGGATTAACATAATACTGTTCAGAAGAGCCAGAAGTAAAGTTTATATAATGGTTTACTTATGCAAGCTAATTAGGATTACTTTTTCTGATTCAAAAGTAAACTTGATTTTGAAAGCCAAGGAATCAGGAGCAATCAATCAGCACATGGCATTGTCTACTTGGTAGTGAGTTTGATGTTTCATAGGTCAAATACTTGTCTGTCTCTCTAGCAAAAACCTTGGCCTGGTGGAACCAAGCTTCATAGAGGTCACAAGATGTTACAGGTCAGAATGGAAATATGTTCTGATAGCACGTGCCTCTGTTCTAAGTAATTCTTATTTCAGTGTTATCATGTACATTCATATTTCTACAGATGACAGTTGTTCCTGTCACTGGCAGTGTTTGTGCTTGTTTCCTTTTGTGTCCTATGAAAAGTATGTATCATTTCTTATTTTATGTTAGAAAATTCATTGTATGAATGTTCTGAGTTCCATGTTGACAATGATATATTTATGTAGATTTTCTTTAGAAGTACATTTTTGCATTATTCATATGCTTCCCAGAGAAGCTCAGCTAGTTAGAAAATAAGGCAAATTTTGAAGCCTGCTAATAATCTAGGCAAAGACCTAATCAGAAAACTTAAGGTAGGTTTGCTTGCCTTTTATTCTTCAATATGAAGGACTATTTATTCCATGATAAAAATTTTAGTGTATTGGTTAAAGATACAAGTAGCCCAGTTTGTATTTGCATTCCTTTTTATTTCCAAAATAAAATGAAGTCTTTTTTTTTAAATAACTTCATTCCCATTTATAGCTTTTATATTATTTGTCCTTCTTATCCAAGATAAAGGTGTCATTAGCTGTTGGATTATTCCAAGACCTTTTTCAGAAACTGAGCCTCTTTTTAATTGTTTGAGAAGGACAGGATCTAGGATAGACTTGATTCCTGCTTTTTGTACATTAAAGCTGCCCTTATTTCTAAGGGTAGATCATCTTAAATATTTGCTTAAAATAAGATTGCTAGTGATTCCATTTACAAGTTACTTGAAAAAATGTTACTCTGTATATTTATTTAATTCTGATATCAGTCTACCAAGTGGCTGCTAGTATATATGTGAGACATATTTTAAAGCCAACTTTGTTGCCTTATCTTGAAAAGAATTTAAGTAGCTGCTTTCAACAGGGACTATTAAACTTTTTAGAATGTCACAGCTCAGCTGTGAATAATAGTGTAAAGATTGCAAAATCTATATATTCATTTCATTTCAGCAGGAATTCTAGAAGCAAATGAATGAGTGGAAGAATAGATCATCTTCCATTCACCTTCCTTTCTAATTAAGGAAAAGGAAAAGAATGCTAGCTTAGGAAGGGAAGAGAAGGGATATCATAAAAGTAATAGCCTCTAATTTTTTTGGTCATTTTCTTTACATAGAGAACTGTTTACTTAGAAACAAATAGAAAAGTTATATTTGAGGGATTTTATTTAATTATTTAAAGAAAATGGACTGTATTGCAATCAAATTGTTCATGCTACCAAAGCAATATTTCCCTGGTATTTAATTCCAAGTTTGTGGCATGTAAAACGAGGCTTTACTTATTTAAGACAATAATAAGTTCACATCTTGTTGTGTGACCATATTAGTAGAATGTTGAGCCCAATTTGCAAGGTGTACTGTATGCAGTTTTGCAAAGAAGTGAAAATAATTTGTTGTACTGTTTATTCAATTCTGTATAAATTATAAAATTATTTTTATTAAATAAATCTTTTACAGTATGCCTTCCCTTTTTAATCAGAATTATTTTAAATTTATCTTTTGCTTCAGTAAAAGATTTGGAGTGTATCCTGAATAATTTCTCCTAGCACAAATTTCATATTATGCCATCCCCCCATCTGACCTTCCCTAATTAGCCTTCAGTCATCCTGTTAATTCTCCCATTGCTTTATAATCTTTACCTTTGACTCTTTCTTATTTCTGTTGTTTTCCAAGTTTTCTTTCTAGCACCAGATGCATTATTTATTTATTTATTTTTGGTCTTTATCTTGTTACCTCTTATACCTCTTTTCTAATGCATGTTCCCTTTTAGAAGTGGGAAGATCTACCTCCCCTCCCACATTAACTAGATTTTAAAAAATAAAGGAAATTAGGTCCAAGGGTAAATTTACCATTTTTTTTTGAAACTGTATAGCCTCTTTGTTCTAAACCCAAGTAATGTGATACCCAAGAAAGCATCTTCTTTTTCTCAGTTGCGTATCATGCATTATTTCCAAGATCAGATTGGTCTTTTCTCACAGTATCCAAATGTATACCTTCCCTCTAATAACACATTTCAAAACCTATTTTAGAAGGCATTTCATTGATCAGCATCAAAGACTTAGAAATTTTTCATGCAAAAAAAATTTTTAAGCATAATTTTCTGTCCCTATTAGGTATACATTCTGTATCTTAATGATATTCAGATTGTAAGCCATTTGAGCAGGGACCATGTCTTCTTTCCATCTTTTGTTGCAAAATACATTCTAATGCCATATGAAAATTGAATTATATAAATGATGTGTAATGAACTTAATATAGCTACTTTTCAGTACAAATGTTGAATGCCCATTTTTTAAAAAGCTATATCAACATAAAGTATTAAGATTAAAATGCCTATCAATGATCTCTAGTCTCCTGGATGCTTTATTCAAGGCATTGTGCTTACATGATAGAAACTGGATATCTATCTGTTTTACTTACAGCATCCTCCCCATAATTAATGCTTTATATTTGACAAATTACAGTTTGGGAAAGGCATCCTGTAATAGTAATAATTCCTCTACTCTTTTCACTATTGGTTATGTAATACTGATAGTAGGTTTGCCACTCAAAGCTATGATCCATTAGGGAAGCCACTCTCTAGACCTCCAGTTTCCTCATCAGTAAGTGGGGATGATACCTCCTCATAGGCTTGTTGTGAAGAAATGAAAGACTCTATGAAAGCACACTAGTGACACAGAGTAGGGGACTAGGAATGCTCTTCCTTTCCCTTTGCTCTGTTTACCTATGTAGCAATCTCAAAATTACACTCTCAAAGGAAATTTTTCTTTGAAAGTTGCAGTCAGAGTGGAAATGACCAGAGGCCTTAATATAAATGTTTTGGAAGGCTTTTTGGGGGATACAGCTGAAAAAGTCATGCTTCAAACTAGGAATTTAAATGTGTGAAAAATATAAAGGATAAATAATGCCTAACTGCCATGATGTGTTGGGAGCCTGCTGACCTAAAGGGAGTTGGAGTTTTTGGAGAATACCTGTTTGCATATGAAGTTACAGGATGTTAGAAGTTCTGCAAACAAAACTTCTTCCCAGGATAGTCTCCTGTTCTCTGAGGACGTGCTGGCTTCTGAACATGTTCCCTACTAACCAGGAAAATTTGTTTTCAGCAGTAACTTATTAATCTGTATAAGCAAAAACACAATTGTGTGCTATTTTCTTGTTCCTTTGTTCATAAATAAAAGCTTGGGTTGGGAGAGTGAAAGGTAGAGCTGCTCTTGATGGCACTCTCCTCAACCTCCCCCAGTTGCAAATTCATTGAGACTTGAGAATGGCGGAGAATTTCATTGACTGTCCTGTCTGCAGTAATGATGAATATGTGTAAGTACTATAATAATTAAAAGGCTGTGTCTAGAAGAAAAGATATTGGGAAAATTACTTGCAGAGGGGATATATGAACTGGCTATGCAGGATGAGTGTAATTTTAACAGAAATATGTAAAGGGGAGCAGTATAATGGACAAAGGGGCTTTTTTTTAAGATTTATTTTTTTATTTATTTATGCATACATACATACAAGCACTGGGTACAGTCAGAAGTGCGGGAGGGTGAGAGAATTCACCAGAGCAGGCAGAAGGACAGAAGTACACTGCTGAGGGGAGCAGCAGGCGGCAGGAGAGGTCTGCGCGCCGGTGGCGCGGGGAGCAGCCGGGGATCGAACCGGCGCTGCAGAGGCTACGGGCAGCTTCGCAACCCAGCGCCCAACCGCCGCGCCACCAGGGAGGCCCTGGACAAAGGGGCTTAAGTAAAGATATGACGGCCCAAAAATGTGGGCCTTCAACATGAAATACAAATAGGGTGAGATAAAGTTGGGAGATCATTTTGGGGTCATTTTCAAATTAACTGGAGATATGAATGGAGAATAATGATTAAGAAAACAGCAGTGGCTAGGATGAAATTTTATGTAAAGATTCTACCAAAAAATTGCTAGCCGAATTACCAACTGGAGTTGTCCAGGTCTAAATGAGAAAGATCTTTATGACATATAGCAATGGAAGAAATGGAGGCAGAACTGAGTTGAGGTTACTTAACATTCTAGAATGTGCCTACATTTTCAAAAGGGGCCTTAGAACATAAACAAGCTGCCCCAGGCCACACATCTGTGAAGTAGGAAAGTTGAACTGTAATTCTGATTCCCACTATACGAGGCAAATGTTCACTTTAGCTCCCGACGCCCAATTCTAGTTCACAAGGAAAAGCCCATTAGACAATCACTTAGGGAACTGGTAGGGCTTGAGGAGAACTTGTTCAGAAAACAGCCCCAGAGAGGAAGTATGCCACGATAGTATGCAAAATGAATGAGCGCCGTTGGGTAAGTGACAGAGTCAGGTACCTCGGGGTCCAAGTTTTGGGGCAGCGAGAGACGCCGGGCAGAAAACCCAAAGGCATATTTGGAACCACAGACGCTCTCACTTCCCCACTTTCCAGGGACTGCTCTGCTTCTCGCACCCCACCACTCTGGCACCTGCGCTGTACAGACTTGCGCCCCAGCTGTCCCACACTCTCCCAAGGGAAACAGTTCTGCAGAGCCTGAGCCTGGGACTTAAGGAGGGTTTAGGAAACCCAGACTGTGTGGTGCTTATGAGCATTCTCTGAAACTCCGCCTCCAAAACCACGTGAAAATCTAATGTCAAAGAAACTCTTGGTGAGTATCATGTATTGTGAATGGCGTCGGCTGCTTTCTGTGACGTTTGAAATATCTTTATTGATCAGTATGAACAGGTACAAACCACTCTCTAAATACATTTCTTATTTATAAATTGTCTTTTAAAATAAGCTTATCAAAGGGAGCAACAATCCTTTCCAGAGGAAAATCTTAGCCTCCGGAAAAATCACAAGAGGAATCGCAAGTAAGAAAATTGAACCTCCTGCCCTAAGTGCTAAAATGTTACAAAAACGAATAAATATTTAAAACCCCTGTACTTATTCATCTGTTTGATTTGATTCCATTTGCTGCTACTCATACCACCCCAAACCCTTTTTTTCTAATATCAAACTGCATGACCATTATTACCTCCAGAATGGATGCCAAAAAATCTTGCGGACTTACCTGTTATGTTCTGGGAGTTCTGAACAAAGTAGAACTCTAACTCCACATCCACACTTAGAGATTCAGCACTTGAACAAAAACAGCTACCTGCAAATTCTTACCTGTGTCTTGTGAGCTTCATTGAGAGAATGTGTTCATAGTGGGAAACAATACAAGTCAACGTAAAGATCTGTTAGTACTAATTCTTTTAACAAACTCGCAGTTAAAGTTTCTCTAGTCTCTCCTCAGTTGTTTTTTTTTTTTTTTTGCATTTTGGTCTTTCCTTTGGTAGAAGTCATTTCATACTTACCCAAAGTCATTCCCTCATTTTAATTAAAAAGATATGAGTATGTCTACTAGTAGGAGACCATAAGCATCAAGTTGGGGAATTTAAGTGGGAACTAAAGTGGTCCTGCATGGGAAGAAACCCTTGGCTTTTAGCATAAGCAATATATATTGTTTTAATCATCTCTAGAGAAAAACGTTCTTTTTTTAAGACCTTGCATTGTTAGAATTATGCACACAATGTGGAACAAATAATCACAGAGTTGAAGATACCCTGATCTTCAATAACTAACTTACGAAGAAGTGATCTAAAATTCTACCTCATTTTGCACATAAAATTTTATTGAGTTTGTGGTTGGCAAATATTCTGATCCCATATTTATTCTAACATCGTTTCAATGGTAGGGTTATCAACACCGGGCTTGCTGTTCAATGCACCTAGAACTAGATGCCAGTACTAGGTAAGGCCAGTATTATGACACTGACTTTTAAGAAAAGAGCTTTTGCATGTTGCCAGACAAGAAGACAGGAGGTAAGATACCAATCTGCCCTCTTGACCTGGGGGCTAAGATCGGTTTTATGGGCAGAGGAAGGGAAAAAAAGAACTAGGAATATGGAAGGAAACTCTGCTTGGCAGAGTGATTGGTTAGGTCTGCAGATGGAGAGGTTTTTTCCAAGTAATTTTGGTTCTGCCTACAGGCTCTTGGTATGACCTTAAGCTGAAAATCAGCTTAAGGTTAATTGCTCTGTGCGTGCTTGGATTATATGACCTCACGCCTTGGCTCCCAAAGGCTGGGAAGGCCTCCAGGCCACTCCTGGCATCCTCAATAACTGCCCCCTTGTTCCAGCCCAGAGTGAGTGTTTGGGCCCTATTAGCTTCCAGCTTCTATCTGAGGCTCCACCTCTCACTGGCCCCTATCCACAAGTGCAGGCTGGGTTCTGCCCCTCATTGTTACCTCTTATACCTCTTTTCTAATGCATGCTCCCACCAGCAGGAAGGTTTCAGGGCTATGCAGGGGCCAGGCCACTACCAAGCTTAGGGGTGTATCTGGAAAAAAACGCCTTAAAAGGGAAGTTAAGTGACTTTTTGTATAGCCTAGGGTCTGAGGGCAAATTTAACGCAGTTTCAGTAGGAAATTTGGAAAGTATAAAAAGTATGAAGAATACTAATTTCTCTTTAATATTTGCCAACTCCAATACCGTATGCACAGTTTCTTATCTTCTCACATTCCCCAAGAAGTCCGCAAGGGAGTGTAAGTAGTTAATAAGATGCTTAGTGGTAGATTACTATTTATTGTTAAAAATTAACAAGTTATTAAACACAATGTAAAAGTACGTTATTTTAAAAATTACGGAAGTGTGTTTTCTCATGTATATGTGTTTTCTCAGATATACTTCGCTCTAGCTCAATACACAAGCAGAAGACAGGGTCTTGTTGCTAGTCATCAAGATTATTTGCATACCTTTTTCTCTTATTTTATGTTAAATATGTATGTCTGAAAATCAACAAAATATAGATAGCATCTGTAAAATAGCACTGTTAGGAGCTACACTTCCAGGGTAGTTCAGAAACTTATTTTCAAACACATGAATATATAGTATCAAAGAGTAATTACTTATTATGCAATTTATTCCCTCTTACAAGCAATGTTGTGCTTAATAATTTAAAAAGTTAATCGTTGCTTTTCTCGAAGACACACCTTTAGTTTGTTTCTTTTCATGGTAATTTATTCATATCAAACACTTCTCCAGTTCGTTGAGCAGAGGATTCCTAATCATATCCTCAGCCTTATGAGTCTTATAGCAGGCTACCCTTTGAAACTTCTGCCTCATGAGGCCTTTGAGATAAGTGCTGACCCAATCTACTGAACAAATGAAAATAATTACAGTATATATAATTTTTTACAAGGAGTGGTTGTTTTAAGGAATGTATTGCTGGCACACAAACTAAAAGGTAGTTTTATCCTGCTCCTAAGGGTCACAAGCAAACTCCTCCAGTCTTAAGTTTGATATATTCATAAGAGTAAATTGAAGATGGTCTTGATTTTCTTTTTTTGATAGTTGCTATATTCTCATTATTTACTGTTAGATCACTGGTATGTACCACATATCTCTGTATGGAGGTAGACATTATTATATGTCAAATCTTTATATAATTACAATGAAAGTATCAAATGTTATCTCAATAAGGTTTAACTTGACCTCATTATTTGAAATTGCAATCCCATTACCAGAACCCACCCCTACACTTCTGATCCTTTTATGCTCTTTATTTTGTATTTCATTTGTCACCTTCTAACATAGTATGATTTACTTAGTGTTTTTTTTAAATTACGTTCTTTCCCTTCCAGAGGATGAAGATAATGAAGTTTTGACTTCCTAAAGAAAATTTTCCCTATATTTTCAAATGGATATCTTAATTTGCAAAAGATATTGATACCGGAATTGTCAGGCCTAGTCTCCCAGCCAGGAACGGATCCCAGGCTGCAGGGCAGTGCTGAGCCCCAGCCACTAGACCCCCACGGGTTGGTGTCTCACGAAGCCGCAGCAGGAACTTCGCAGATGCTCAGGCAAGCAAGCGAGAAGAGGCAGGTTTGTTTATAGAAAGAAAAAGTTTATTGAGGAGAAAAAGAGCAGAAATAAAGTGGGACTCCCAGGCCAGGGAACCAGGCCTGGGAGGGGCAAGGAAACCAAAGTGGAGTTGTGTCTCAGGGAATATATACCTTTTTTCCCCCATTATTCTAAAACTCCACCAGTCTCTTTGTGATTGGTTAGTTCTCGGCTGTCTCACTTAATTTGCTATTGAGTGGGGGATCTTCACATTCCTTATCTAACAGCTTTCTCTTTCCCCATTTGTTACTTCTTTATATTTATGGCCCAGTCCTCTGGATGGACATCCCTGCACTTAAGTTAAACAGCTGCCCTTCTAAATTGTCCATAAATTAAACCACTCTCTCATTTCTCCAATCTCTGCCTCCCTTTACCACCTGAAGGAAAACAGGCCCAGCGTTAACAATGTTGTCCTTGGTTCTGAGATGTTTGTTTTTCCCAGTGGAATTGGTTACTTTCCCTTGGTTGTCCTTATCTCTGAAGCCTCCCTAAATTCTTCAGAGGTCCCCTCCTGCACTGTCCCTGAAACTGCCTAATAACCCTAGCTTGCCCTGTGTCTCAATATTAATGTCAATGTACCCATTTTAACTACATATTATATGTAATGATTATAAAGCACCCGTGTTCTGGAAATGAATGAGCAAAGGTGGAATACAAAGGTGTAAAATTCAGAAAATTATCCCACTTATCTCACCTCTTTCTGCCCCTTTCAGATGATCACATTCTAATTTTCTGCCTGGGAACTCAGAGATCTGAGCTTAATAAATTAAAACAAACCTAAGGAGAGCGAAAGATGCTTCCCAAATTGCTCAAACTTAGCTCATAGGTGTTGTAATTACTTTTTATTATTGCACTTTTGACTGTTTTTGCTTTTGTTTTGTGTTGCAGCTGGGTTTCTAGGTAGTTAAGTAAATGAAATACTTCCATGGATATAATAGCTCATTGATATATTACAAGTATGTACAACAGTGTCGGGCACATAGACTTGCCTGGTCAAGTCTTCTCAGTTCTCATATCTTAATCTCTTTTTCTCGGTTACCTAAGTTAAATAAATATTGACTTTTCTAAGTCAAAGCCTTCCTTCAAAATGTTTATTGAAAGGGAAAATTGCTCAACTTTATGATGTTCTTTGTTGTGTTGTGTACATTTTTGTTGCTATACGCTCTGTAATGAACAACTACAGAATAATGTGGGAGTGTTACTCATTTCTGGATCTTATTTCAGAATGCTCATTTAACATTTATAGTGATAACTAGTTTTGAACAGTGGCGAGGGAAAACATACATGTACAATAATGGTACATTTGAAAAATCCCATAGTCTTTGATGAGTCATGAATTCCAAACACATTTCTGCTGCCTTTAACTAAAATAGTCATTTATTGATATTTAACATTTTCAGACATAAAAAGCATAAAGACCATCTAAATAAAAGGCCCTGGATAGCAGACAACTTTTTTGTGTCGACTCTTCCCAAATCATGCTATTCTTACATTTCCTTAACTCTTCTTTCTTGTACAAGTCTTTGATAGCTTAAGAGCAATCACATCAGGGAGGAGAGGAAAGCATTTTATCTTTCTAGCTAATTACGATGTTAGTGATGAATAAAGATTGCATAGGTTGAGTTGATGCAACATGGTTTTGTTTTTTGGTTTTTTTTTTTTTTTTTTTATAGAGGCATGTTTTATTTATTTATTTGTTTGTTTGTTCGTTTGTTTCGTTTATACATGCACTGGGTACAGTCAGAAGCGCGGGAGGGTGAGAGAATTCACCAGAGCCAGAGCCGGGAGCAGAGCAGGCAGAAGGACCGAAGTACACTGCTGAGGGGAGCAGCGGGCGGCAGGAGAGGTCTGCGCGCCATGTGGGACCCTCCTCTGGTGGCCGGAGCAGCCGGGGATCGAACCGGCGCTGCAGAGGCTGCGGGCAGCTTCGCAACCCAGCGCTCAACCGCTGCGCCACCGGGGAGGCCCGATGCAACATGGTTTTAAAGGT